GCTGTTGGCTAGACTGGAATGGCAAACCACTTCCAGCCTAATCTACAGGGTTCTATTTTGTCTCCAGTATATTAAATTACTGGAGGAAATCATTTGGAGCTTTGAAGTAAAATGCCACCAGTATGCTGATCATACCCAGCTCTACTGCTTCCCACCTCCAAAGAAGCTATCAATAACCTTAAATTGCCTAATCTCAGTAATGGGCTGGATGAGCAAGAACAAGATGAAATTAAATGCAGAAAAGATGGAGGTGCTGTTAGTAAAGAAAAGGTGATTGAAATAAAGCTTGTTTTGGCTGAGGATCTACCCCTCCAGAAAAAGCAGGTTCTTAATTTGGGAGTGCTCCCTGACCATCAGCTGTCACAGGATTTGCAGGTTGTTGCTATAGCGGAAAGCATGCTTCCCCAACTATTGTAGTACAACAAGTGTGACCACTGTTGAACTGGTTAAATTTTGTGATAATTATCCATTTTTGGGTTACAACCTGTCTCAACTACTGCAATATGTTTTGCCTGGGGCTACCCTTGAAAATTGTTCATGAATTGCAATTGGTGCAATTTGACTGCTGTCCATTTCAAGGTACAGGGATCATATGGTACTTGTACTGAAAGTTCTGCACTGGCTACTAATTGCCTGCTGGGCGCAAAGTGCTGGTGCTGACTTTTTAGGGCTTTAGCTTAGTATCTAAACAGCCTAGGGAAGGACCACCTCTCCTTCTATGAATTTGTCTGGTGGCTTAGATGAACAGGAGAGGTTCTTTTGAAGTTGCCCCAGCTGCCAGAAGCTCAACTATCAGGTACCAGTAGTTCTCTGGTATGGCTCCCAGGCTAGATAGTATGCTCCCTAAAGAGGTGCATTTGATTCCAACTCTCTCAATATTTAGAAAGATGATAAAAATGTATTTCTTTTGCCAAGCTTTTAGATGTTGATTATTTTAACAACTTATTTTAACTTTATTTGGATCACCTTTGCTTTATTTTATACTTTGTATTTTCTTATTCCTGTAAGCTGCACTGAGTATTGGAATAAACAGAAAGGCAGAGTATAAATTCAGTCATAAATAATAAATAAATTTATTTCAGACAAGAATGGAGTCACAGAACAGACAGAAGTATCACAATGACACTTGCATGGTGAAATCAACATGCACATAATTATGTACATGGTTCCTGACATCTGATAGAAGTGCATAAGTCAGAATGGTTTCCTCATTTGTCCCCCTCAGGTTGTTTTCCCAGTCTGGGTTATTCTGAATCAAGGTTTGCCCATCTTACAGCTTCTTCAGTCATTAGGCTTGAATTCATCCTACTTCTTCAGTCATCCTACTCGAGTTCAGTTGATGAGAAAAACATCAGGTCTTGGGGAGATGTATAGTTCACACTGAATGAGGAAAGCAGTATATTTGCTTGAATTCCCATCCTATTTATCAGGTAAGGAGGCAGGCACATAGCAGTGCAAACCTGCAGTTGCTACAGCAACAGCTAAAGGGTCTTGGGCCAGAACTAGCATAGGGACCACTGGTTGTGGTAGATTTTGTCCCATCTGCTGGGTTAGCTGGTTCACTATCTGGCCTTACCAATCCATCTGGGTTGCCACTTGGTTCTGCTACTGAAGGAGGACTCTGATGCTTTGATTGATGGTTAGCAGGGTTGCATGAGGGTGTGTAGCCATTATTTAATCCTTGGTCCTGATTAATGTTTTCCTTCCTTAGTGATGGGGGTAGAAATGAGGAAAGTTGTTGTCAGGCTTTACATCCAGATTATCTGTAAATCTTGGCTCTCCAGATTCTTAACTCCTTATTCAGGAATGAGCTGACTTGGCAGAAGGCTCTCAGTCACAAGTCAGCTAGATTTGTCTTTATTTCAGACAGGAATGAAACTATATACACACAGAATATTTGCAGACTGCAGTATACAGAAGTCAAAACATTCATGTAGGTCTATATTCTAAGTTTAGACATTTTCTTCTACCATTTTGAATCAATGGATATTTAACTGTTCTCTTTAAGGCCTTGGAGAGTACCTGACTATTGCTGAGATAACGGTTGTCTCTAGCTTAGGAATGATTAGTTTCTACCTTACCAGCTTAATTTGTTACATTCTGCCCCATTCAACATGAGAATGAGATTCGGAGGGTAGTTCAAAACTTCTATATCAGTTTGTAGACCTTGATTCTACACTGACAAACAACGGGCTTCCAGTGTTTCCATGAGGAAGCTTTCCTGCTCCTACCTGAAGATGCTGAGGATCAAATCTAAGACTGTCTGCATACATAGCAGGTTCTCTATATATTGTCCACTCGTGAGATCCTTGAGTACCTTGCTTTAAAAAGGATTCAGAGAAAATGGAATTGGTTCAGAGAAGAACAATGAAGATGATCAACAGAAACTAGGGAGGGAAGCTAGAAACCAAGTTCTGTAATGAGAAATTGAAGTATCTGAGAATGTTTAGCCTGGTGAAGGGAAGACTGAAGAGAGATATGGCAACAGTCTTTAAATACCTGTCACAACAGAATATCTGTCGCAACAGACAGCAAAGATCTGTTTCTCAATTGTTCCAAAATGCAGGATATAAAATCATGGTTTCAGATATAGGAAGGCAGATTCCAGTTGAATGTTTGAGGGAAAAGGGGGAACAAAACTTCTTAACAATAAGTGCAGTTTAACAGAAGAACCAATTACTCAGAGAAGTGGTGATCTCCCCTCCACTGGATGTTTTCAAACAGCCATTTGACTGGAATGGTTAAAGGTGACCCGGAGATTAGACTTGATGGCCTCCAAGGCCCCTTCCAACACTAAGATTTTGGAGTCTCACAACAGTACATATAGCTGAATGAAGTGATTCTGCTCATACTTATTAATTATGGTTGTGGGATCTATGTCTATTTTGTCATTACTTTGAGGGTTGATGAAAATTGAATTTACACACAACTGATATGTCTCTCACACCCAACCACACTCTGAAATGAAAAAAACACACACAAAAATTGGAGCTGGAGACCAGGGCAGTTGGAGGCAAGAAGGAAAGAGAGAGGGGAAATATTGACCACCCAGGAGAAAAACTGTAATTGAGAAGGATATATTAAGTAGGGGATACTTATTCCTTCCCCAGATATACTAGAAAAGACCCCCAACACAAATTAAGCATTAAAGTGGGGAAATGTTTTGGCTATTTATAAATCAACTCAGTAGAGTATGCCAACAGACCTAGGAGGAGCAAGGGGTACACAACAGCCTTTCTAACATACAGAGTTTTGTCTTCTAAGAGATAGGAGAGACTGGGAACCTCAAAAAGAATAGCTGGGATGTTGCCACTACTATTGTCCCTAGCATTTGCCATTTTAGGCTGGTTCCCTAATGGTAGGCCTGGGCTTCTAGAGGCAATTGTGCTGGGAGCTGAATCTTAAAAAAGAAAAAGCTATGTCTATAGCAATTTTGGCTAACCAATTTTAATATGGATTTCCCAAAATGAAAATATGTAGGGGACAAATAGGAGAGTACTCTTTCATAGATTTGTTGCTTCAGTCAAACTCACTATCACAGAAGCCCTGCCAAGGTCATAGGTGGCTGGCTTTTGCAGTTCAGCCACAGTCCACCTCAATGGGGTGCCTTGTCTTGCAGAGGGGAGTAACTTTGACATGACAAGGCAAAGTGCATCATAGAGGCAAGACTTTGATGAAGTTTTGATGATGCATTGAAGGAGGAGGGTGGGTGATCTGGCTGAATTAGCTATTTTGCTTTGATGCACATCCAGATCTTTTAATCACAAGTTCACAGGAAAAAAAATTTATTCACCCCATATTTGGGCCCAATGAAATTTCTGACCTCTTCCCCATTCCCACACATTTCTAAAATATTTGTTTTGGCTTAAAAAAAGTTATTTTCCTAATAAGAATTTTAATCACTTCTATTGGAAAAATCATGTCTATAGCCCTAGGTGTAAAAATTCCGTTGATTCTCATAGATTTGCAATGGATTTGGTATCATGGTTTTAGGATACCACACTCCCACTCAAAGTATGATTGGGTTCACATAGGGCTCTAAACTGTGATTTCTTTAACCATGTTTTATTAAATAAACCACAACTGGCTTGCTTCACATTACAAATAAGCCAAAACCAAGCAAGTCATATGATGACTTAGTACAATAGGTGAACCCAAGCTATATACAGTAGGCATAAACTCTTTTCCATTCAATTTCTTGGGTCTGGAGACAGGAGGGATAAAGGTTTATACCAATTTAGCAGTGATGGCTTTTCCAATATAATGCTGAGAATGGTAGACTGTCAGAGTTTCTGTGCCACAAAATTATAGGGGCATCTCAACAGAGGGACTTTGGGCATAACCCTCTCCTTTTGAAACTACAGCTCCCAGGGAATTCCTGCAGAGTGGGAATCACTTTTACATTTGTTTTATAATGGACACAGAAGCTAAGCAGATTGGAAATTGCTAAGAAATCTATTTAAAGCATCTAGTCTGGACTTCAGCAGAAGAACCGTTTGAAATCTGACACTATATCAAAGTGTTAGAGAAAAGATGCCAATAGCTAAGTCAGCCTTTAACATGTGCCAAAGCAGTTAGATGCACTATTCACTGTAGCTGATATTACTGTTACTAATAAAGCTGTCTGCTTCTCTGGGATATGTTTCAGTATATTGTGAATTTCCTTTGCAGCAAGTTATCCAGTTTATTTAGTTAAATAGGTTGCCAGCAAAAATCTAAAGCACTCAAGCATGCGCTTTTCAGATGAGTTGGGATGACCAATTCCATAATGGGCATGCTGGCTAGGGATTATGAGAGTAGTTGTTCCAACCTATCTGGAGGGCAGCAGAATGATAATGGCTAATCTAAAAAAGTTCATTCAGTTCCTTGCTCCAAAGCTATCAAAACACAAAAATAATTCTCTAGGAAGGAAGGGGTGAGCAACACATACATAGTACCATAAAACTTCAGTAAAGCTCTGCCAGGGAGATGAAGGAAAAAAATACAGTAAAGTTACTTACGCCATGACAATAACAGAAAAATCCAGCCAATTCCATGGGTCTCGAAGGAAGGTGAATTCAGTCATACAAAATCCCCTGGCCAGTATTTTTATCAATGACTCAAACGTGTAAATGGCAGTAAAAGTGTGCCTATAAAGAGTTAAGAATCCAAGAAAAAAGTGAGAGTATTAGCAACTGACAGGAAAGGAAAATGCCATAAACGTCCATTTATCCCTCAGTACCTAGTAATCTGCCTGAATCTAGTGGCCACTTCATCAAAACAATGCCACACTTTCAACTCCTGACACTGACCTAAAACAGACTATGTTTGAAACTGTTTATACATGCAAACCACAACATGTTTAGGGGTATTACAGTTTGCAAATTGAGATACATAGTCCAAAAAGCTCAAGGAATGTATTTTGGAGACATTGCCATCACAAGGACTAGTCACATGCATGCTGCTTTCATTGAAATGTACTATCTATATATGCACATACACATACACAGGCAGATAATTTGCTTGTGAAACTGCTGCTGCTACCATATTCCTCTCACAGCTACCATCTCTCTTCATCCTAAGTTTTACCCTAGGGCCTGCCAACTGCTATGGAACTACAGTTCCTAATATCCTTTGCCACTGGCCACATTGGCTAAGGCTGCCAGGAGTTGTAGTTCAGCAATGCCTATAGGGCCTCATGCTTCAAAATGATTTTAATTTAATTGCAGCTGAGACTCACCAATTTCTTTCAATGGACAGGATTGTCATTCTATTATAAATTGAGAATGTGATTTTGCAGGACAGCAATTGAAACCTTGGGAATTTTCTCCTCCCTACCACCAGTGTTCATTCTTGCTGAACCAACAGCATGCAACTATCAATAATAGTTACTCAAGCATCTCATTTTCTCTACTGTGCATTTTTTTGGCCTTTATAATTTTCAAACTCCAAAAAGTTTTTAAAAAATAACAAGAAATGGCTGACATCTATCAATTATATCTGGAATTCACAGAATCACACAACTGGAAGGGTCACTAGTCCTTTTAGTCCAATCTTCTAAATCGGCTTTCTTTAAACTGGTACCTTCCAGCTGCACTTGGACTGCAAATCCCAGAATTCCCCATCTGTATAATGAAGCAGGACATAGAATTCTGAGAGTTGAAATCCAACAACATATTTGGAGGCCACATTGGGGAAAGCTACTCTACCCGTAGTGTATGTATGTGTGTGTGTCTGTATATTAGATACACACACATACCATGCATGTAAGAAACATAATAACCCCCAAATGGCACAAGAGAGGCTTTTTAAAACAAAATCTCAAATATATGCAACTGTAACTACAGTTAGTGTTTCAAAAGAGAAGGGAAATATGCCCCCAGTTTCAGAGGATTTTCACTGCGCCTGGAAGTTGGGGCTGCCCGCTTTGTAAGATCCTGCCTCAAAGAAGGGCATTTTGTCCTCTTTCCTTCTGGCGCCCATAGTCAGGAGCAGATGGCTGTGTTTATCATCCATCAGTCAAAAATAAAAAGTGTGTTCTGGTTGGCGCAATGAGCCACACTAATTGTTTAATGCACTGCACTTAGATTAAGCTTTTGCATCTGGTATCCATTTCAGTAAGAACTTGCAGAAGTGCAAGCTTGCCATACTGAATCTTCATACAAAAGGTACGTTTCAGGAGTATTTATGTATAAAACTCCAGTTTGTTTAGTTCCATCACTTCAACATTACTTTTGATGAAGAGATGGCCAGTCTGGACTCTCATCCCAATTCTGCAAACGAAACATTTCTAATTTCTGCCAAGAGTGATCTGTCTCTACCCCTAGCAGTGCCTAGTATGCACTTTTCAAATTCAAACAAAGATCAGAATGTTGTTAGCCTTTGGATTACAGGCTTCTCTGAAAAAAGTACCTCCCCAAAGGCAATATGATTTATCTAAATCAACTGTGTTCTATCAATGCATTCGAGATACACTCTGACAAAACACAATTTAATCATATATTTTAATAAATACTCATTCTATCCATTTTAATGCTTTAGTTTCTATAAATTTTGAATCTGTGATTTAGCCCTTGCTCACAACTACTCATTATTTTAGGGAACACGAATAACGTGGTCACAGGAATTTTGCCAGTCTTCACCTGCCCATTCCCCAACCCCAAGTAAATTATATGTAGCAGGATTATCATATTATGCAAACACAAATAGGGGAAAAAAGGAGAGAGAGTTCTGAAAAGATACTTACTCTACATATTTATTCCATTGAGGGAGTTCGGACCATGCCATAAACACACAGTTGGTTAAAATAGTGCACATAATAAACATACTGAATAATGTAAAAGTATGAGTCAAGGAAGTAACTTTAAATGAGTTTTGAATTTTAAAAATGTATTTAAAAATGAGCCCCTCACACTTTCATTGTTGTGGCATTGTAATGTTTTTCCTGTTTCATAGTTTCTATTCATCCTTTCCATAAAATGCAACCCTTGTATTTGCTACAGACTTATGTACAATATGTACATATGAGTACAAACACAAACACACAAAGACATATAAGTTTGGTTGAAGCTTACAGCAAATTGCATAGCCAGGACAATAATTCTGAAAGCAAAGTCAGAGGTCAAATATTGCAAATATTATGCTCATCTAGTTAGTCAGTCAATGAATATTCTTGAATATGTTTCAATATATGCAAGCTTTTCTCAAATGAAATCATTTCTTTTGGGACAAAAACACCTCTGCTATGTATCCCCCTGCTGCCTCTGGTGAATTCAAATGGCCATTATGACTGTAGTTGGTTCAGCGATATCTGGAAGGTCTCAAGCTTTCCACCCAACTGTACACCCTGGGGATATGCCAGAGGTTCATACTGACAGACACCACCTTTCTGCCTTTGCATGCTTTAATTTAGTTGGGCTAACTATTACAGTAAAGGCACACTCAAGTGAAACTTGATTCCTGGTGATTAAATGGACAAATCCAGGTAGTTTTCCTGGCAACAGGAGTAACTTTGCCACTGCCTTTTCCAGATTTTTTTTTTAAATTTCCCAGAACTAGTCTTCAATAAAGAGATTTTCTTGTGATCTACCATCCAAGTACTAACCAGATCTACTCCAACTTAGTTTTTTTTCAACTATTTTAACTAGAGCCAATTCTACTCTTGGACAGGGTGAGGTAGCCATCATAAACAGTTGATTCAGGGTTCCATGAAAGGACAGCAAATGATTTGTTGCTGAATATTTTGGAGTTACATTTTTATTGCTGCAAGGTGCTTGTGGAATTTACTGCCTGGGGTGTTGAAAATCACCAAAGTGGGGGGGAGGAGGGACATTTGGGAATGTCCCTGCTCTAATTTAAATAGCAAAATGTCTGAATAGCATTTGTTTTAAACCTTGACATTATCCTAAATGCTTGAAACCACTAGTTTTGTTAAAAACCAAAGATTACTCTGTAAAAAAAATTCAATTTAACATGAAAATGGGCTAGAATAGACTTATCAGTGGATACATAAATATGTATAAAAAGTCTGATTTAAACCTGGATTAAATAATAAAATATACTTTCTTCTCCATAGGAACTGTAAGTTTGCTATTTATTACAGCCTAAAATAATAATATATAGGAGAAGTTGCATCCATATGTATATTTTCAATGAAAACTGATGCTTCATACTCCCAAAAAGGGCCTAGGAAAAAAAGGGGGGGTAGGAGAAGGAGAGCCCAGGGAGATGGGCTGCAAAATAGCCAAGTTTAGCTTCTCTTAAAATATATTTTAAAAGGGTTCATGTTGAATGGGAACACAGGTGTGGTGGTGCCAATTCAGCATAAAAAGAAAATAAAGAGGATTCATAAAGGAGAAGGAGGTAGGATGGAAAGAGAGGACCAAGCAAACAGAGGCTTGCTTAAGGAGAATAGGGTTCTCTTGAACAAATGTTTGTAAGTGGCACCCTAATTAATAATGCCATTGGTATACACAGGGCTTCAGATAAGGAAAAGTGACAGCTCCCTGCCCCAAGGAACTTACAACCTAAATTTAGAAGAGAAAGATGACAGAAGAAATAGGAAGCTAGAGAACAAGGGATGAAAGTAAGAATGTACAGAGTCTCTCTCTCTCTCCCTCCCTTCTTCCCCAATCTGGTGCCCATCAGCAATTTTTGGACAGCCCTGTACATTGTTTGGAAGTTCTCCAGCTTCCCCTTTTCCTCCAAAAGACACAAGTAATGTGAGTTGTTGGATATCACCTTATTGGTCCAGAGAAGATGGGGACCAACCTCACCATTTTGTCTTCCAGCAAAGAAGCATGTTATAACTGGTCACACATTGTCTAACAGGCAATTTGGAAGACTGTTTACAAAATGTTCCCAAAATTACAAATGTAGGGACCCCTGAAAGAAGCAATGATATAACTTGGTATTCACCAAGAATTGTTGACAAAGCCAAAGCTGTCCTGTGTTCTACTTAATTATTCCCCATTTGGCTTAATTAATCAGTGGCCATCTCCATTTGCCCACACCTCTTGCCTTCTTTTTATGCCTGTTCACACACTAAAATGAAGCTAGAGAACAGCATTCCAACCACAGGTCATAAAACAATATCTACAACACAGTTATCTGACACAAAGGTGAACTTTTAAGCAAAGGTATCCCTTTCCATTGTAGGGGGTAGTAGGAGAAATGGGATATTTTCTTTCCTGCCCCATATCTACTCTCAAAAACTCACTGGTTTGCTAACTAGCCTGCTAATTCCCACATGAAAACTTAGAAACTAATAATTGGACTCAGGAGTAAAAACAGTAATCAAAAACATGTTCTACTCCTGGGATCTATCTCTCCCGATGAATAGCTGTAGAGAATTGCAGATGGCCAGCCTCACTATCTGCCATGATGACTTGGTGAACATTTATTTTTATATTCTAGTTAAGCAGCTAGAGGCTTGGGGTCCCAATTCAACTCCTGGGGAATCTCTCTCTTTCCCTCTCACTCTTCCCAGCAACACTCCCAAAGAAGACCCTTTGTTTACATGCCTTTCTCATGACTGAGAAAGCAGGTTGTTGGAAGAAAACTAAATGATTGCTACTCATGTGGGGGAAAAGGGAAGGAGTTAGTGTCCTTGTGAATTCCTTTGTGGGCAGAGAAGGATTAACAAGCACATTGCTTGGAGCTGGTTGGGAGAATCAATGTCACCTGCCCTTTATCTCTTGTTTAGTTCAAATTATGAAGTACAGTTAAGAAATGCAATCTGATTAGGGATACACAGGATACTTATTTTAAACAAAATTAAATTCCAGCTTTGCCTATTGCACAAACAGCATATTGAATTACAAAGGTGTCAGCCTAAAGGGGTTGCTATGCCTTTCACCCAGACAATCTGTTGTCCAAGACAGCATGAAACCCCTGAACCCAAGTACCCAATCTTGCTTACCTCAAAACAAGAAAATGGAAAATCCTGTTCCTGTCCACATGTTCATGGCACCTTCCTCCCTTCCCTCCCCTCCCCCCATTAAGGGTGACTCTCAGCCACCAAAAGATTAGTCATTCCTGCTTTATCAGCTAAGCAACAGTTCAATATTGAACAAGAAAAGCCTACACATGTACAACTGGACTCTTTATCTTGTAGATTTGGAAGGACTTCAAAAGTAACTGAGTCCAATCTAATGCTAATAAAGGAAAGCTGCTTCTTATGATCTTCCTGACAAGCTGCTATCTTCTAACCTTCCAAGGCCATTTGTATCAACATCCTGCCACTCCTACGAGAAGAAACCTCTTCCTACTATTTAGGTGGAATCTTGCAATTGCTCCTTGGTTCAAGTCCTACCGTTCAAACCAATAGAAAAGACATTTACTCCATCAGCTATCTGACAGTCCTTAAATCTTTCATGGCAGCTGTCATAAAATTAAATCACTTCTCCATGCAAAACATAAGCCACTGTATCAGTCTTTCTGACTGGAATGCAGGACGTATATAAAGAAATTTAAAGCTGACCTTGGGGAAGGTATGAGAGAGCCTGAGAGGAAAGGAGGCGCAAGGTAATAAGGGGGGGGGGGGGCTTGCAGAAAAGATTACCCAGTCCAGAGGCAGAGAGAATCCTAAGAAAGATACTTAAAATAACCCAGCCTTGATTTTGTTTAGTGTAACACAGAACAGAGAAGAACTTGGAAAAGCTTTCAAGATCCTCTTATTCTACCTTACTACAATAAACAGCATTCCTGGAATCTCTGCTATGCCTGTTTCTTGACTTGTCCTACCTCAAGGGCTGACACCCTACCACACAGTTGCTTATTTCCCCACCGCTACCAATTCTAAGCAGAATTTTCACACTGCTCTGTTGTGTTCACTGAGTGTCATCACCTCCCACTTCTTGAGCCAGCCAGTGCTCCTTCCAATTACCAATGGATAGGGGCTAAAATGATACTCAGTACTCCACCCCTTCTTATTCTTCACTTGCCAGGGTGATTATTCATGGCCAGGAAAAAAGAAAAACCCTGATTGGTGGCTGCTGTCCAGGTGAGCAGCAAAGCTGCCCCTTGGTGTAACTATGAGGATAAGACACAACAGCCCCTTTCCACCTGAAGAGAGGGGTAAAATATCAGGATCTGGGAAGCAGGAGGGACAGGAATTCCTACAAATGGGAAACCACCTGCAGCTCCAAAGGGGGTGCTACTAAACTGCCTTTGTAACATTTCCTCTGGAGCTGAAGTCCCTCAGGATTCCTGCACTAATTGGAAGAGGCTTTCATCTTCATTGCCCTTTACTGAAACAGCAGTTTCTACAGAAGGAGTAGAATACTGAGGGCAGTGTTATGTTGTCATGATATAAGTCCCATCCCTTTCGTACATGCACACATATATAAACAGAGTGAAGACTGCAGCACAATGCTGCTTCCTTCATTTTGACAAAAGCAGCGGGATCTTGAGGACACATTCCAGTTCACTTATTTTCTTCTTATACTGTGGCCCAGTAAGCATTTCAAAGGAAGGCTGACCCAAAGTAAAAGTGACCAGAAAGATTCTTCCTCACATCTGGCATTATACTTCTGTCAATGCAATCTTCTGTTGCTTTTAGCCACTGCATCAGCAAACATTAGCAAACAAATTCATGTTTAGCTACACAACTGAAATGTAATACGATCATCTCAAAAGAAGCCATTGTAAGATCTTTGGTTGCTGGATCTAAACCTCTTCCCTGCAGCTGGCAAGACAGGAGTGAGCAGTTCCCAGGCTCAATACATCCCAACTACCTCCCATGGTCTTGAAGAGAGCAGCAAGCTATCCATTGACTTGGAAAGGTGGGAAGGAAAAGCCTAGGATTTAAATCCTGGAGCACAGCCATATATATAT